AGAGAGAGAGAGAGAGAGAGAGAGAGGGCGGAGAGGGTGGGTGAGTGGGAGAATGTAACAGAGCGGACAAGGACATATTAGATTCTACATTTGGACAGCGCATTTGATCTTTCTCCGTCCATTTTAGTGTGTGTGAAGCCGAATTCTTTATCATTTCTTGACGAACTATCGACAAACAGGGCTTGATCTAAAAACAACTAGTAATAGTTTGTCTTTGTTTGTTAGATTCCCCAATAAAAATCGTGGTTCTGTCTTACATTTACGATATCTAAACCCACTGCAAGTCTACGTAAGAGCCTTACAATGTGCAAACAGCCAGAAGCGAGAACAGAAAATACAAATTAATCTACAAAGTCAAATCTAATCTAATGTACAAAATCAACAAACCAAAGCACTGTAAAATATAAGGGTGAAACAAAAACCTACAGAATTTGTATGGCATCCCTAACAGGGGTTTGTGAATACTCACAAGGGTTTGATGCAGGCATAGCTGAAATGGGAAAAAAGAGAAACAAGTTATTTTGGTCACTCTTTTGAATAAGCTGAAGATACGAAAAGATTAAATAAGAAAAGATAAAATAAGGGGCAAGAAAAGGTAAAATAAGACAAGATAAGACACGACAAGACACGATAAGATACAATAAGATAAGATAAGATATAATATGATATATGATAAGATAAGATAATATGAAATGATGATGATGATGATGAAGATGATGATGATGATGATGATGATGATGATGATGATGATGATGATGATGATGATGATGATGATGATGATGATGAGAAGCCTACGTGGCGAAATATCGAGCAAATTTAATAAACGAAAACTTTAATATACTTTTTGTCTACAAATCGATAAAGACTCTACCTACCCATCTGCTTTTTAAACAATGATGATGATGATAATGATGATGATGATGATGGTGATGATGGTGATGATGATGGTGATGATGGTGATGATGAAGGTGATGATGATGATGATGATGATGATGATGATGATGATGATGATGATGATAGTAACAGCAACATTTTCTTCTGGATTCTTCAAACGCTTAAGCTTTGGGCGAACGCTAAATACCGTTTTGCTCCCTTTGTTTAATAATGAGTAGCAAACGTATTATGACGAGAGGGACGTAGAGAACTCCAAAATGCCAGATGGCATGAGCCTAATCGAGGTAGCTTTTGTTTTTCAACATCAGAGGTCAAATTGTATTCTAGTTCAATTCCGTTTGATAGATGGACACGTACCGGATTCATTTTCAGGTGTATCACAACCACACAGACTAGGGCTGGGCAATGAGTCGCTTTAGCAAAATTCAGATAAAATGTTAGTGTACCTCTTCGCGGCCCAATGTTGAATGGACGGTTTCGGAAAATGGCTTAGAACCACTTCGAGAAACGGGTTAGAACCGCGTCAACAACTGAGTGCACTCACTTCGGCAAACAGGTCAGGAAAGAGAGTTTAAGAGTCTGAATTCGGATAATGTTTAATTGAGAATTATCCGGTTATTCGGATAGTTAACCGGATTTTGCCCACCACTAACACAGACTACCAGACTGCCGGACTCACTCCTTTACCACAGGATGTCTAGCCCTTTGCCCAGAGGAGAAAGACAGCGGAGACATTAGCACTGTCTACTGAAATTCACACGTGTGCACGCACATACAAACATCCACACACGCACACACACACATACACACATACACACGCGCGTGTAGACACACACAGGTCTATCTATCCATTTGTATGAAGATAGAAATTGGGTGAGAGGAAGCAAAAGAGAGAGAGAGAGAGAGAGAGAGAGAGAGAGAGAGAGAGAGAGAGAGAGAGAGAGAGATGGAGATTAACGTTCGGACAAACAGCTCAACTTGATCCCTCATTTTCTCCAACTACACTCCTGCCTCTTATTTGCAATTCATTTCTATGTATATCGTCAAGAGAACACCAGTTTGTAAATTCCTACAAGGAGTATCGTATTCACTTATCATATTGAGCATTCTCTCAGCGACGGACGGGTGATAAAATTACAATTTACAAGTGGGATATACAACAAGCAAACTAAAATGTAATTTAATCTCTTAAGAATATCCGCGGAAATTAAAGAGAAATATTTCGGATGTTACCACTGCAGGCACTCTATCAATAAATGTTTTGTTTTGTTTCTAAAAAAGACCACATTTTAGAACCATATTTAATGTTGCTCTTTGAAATGCTACCCTCCAAGAGAAATACCAAAGGGGAAATAATAATTTTGTGGGCATCGGCATTGTCGAGGGAAATTTGTAGTACAAAATGCATCTTAAGGACTGGACCATCTTATCAAGTGAAATGGAGGAATGCCTACAGTTTAAATCTTCGAGATACACAAAAGTATGCCAAAATGCACAAAACGCCCTGACAAAATAATATACAGCTAGCTTAAACATGAGGTGACTGTGGAGGAGGCTGGGG